TAGCAGAGGCCCAGACGCCCAGCCAGCATGGCCGGTGACTAAGACGAATCGGCCCCAGGCTTCAGGCTTTCTCCGAGCGTTGCCAGGTGGGGGCTGGAAAGGAAGCCGGAGGAGGATCGTGTTCTGGGGGCCTGTCCCGAGAAGCGGGGCTGCCCCGCAGAGTGATGGCCGCTGGGGGACGAACCTGAAGATAAATAAGAACAGTCCGCGTGAGCCCGGGCTCATCTTAACACTAAGCAGAGAGGCCTGGGGCTGGACTTGAAAGCGTCCGGCTGAGACAGATGGGCTGCTGCCGGGGTGGGGGCGGCTGGGCGTGGGGAATGAGTGATGGGGTGTCGGGGCGCTCAGTCACCGCCAGCCAGAGATGCCGGCCCCTGTCCAGCCGCCAGGACATGTGCGGGGGCCTGCCCCTCCCGCCGCCCGGCCCGGGGATTTATGGCTTCGTTAAGGCCTGGAGAGGGGCTGAGGCCAGGCCTGAGGTGGGAGGGTTTGATGTCAGCCTGGCAGCCCCTGCTGGATTTCCGCCCTGAGCAATGCTGGGGAAAACAGGCCTGGCCCCATGGGGCAGCAGTGACTCAGGGTCACGCAGAGAAGGGCACGGGGCCTGGGCCCCTTCCTTAAGTCACCTGGGAGCCTCCTGACCTCAGCCACCTCCAGCCTCCAAGCGTTTCCAGCCTCCTTACCTTTACCCAAGCCGGTCCTGCAGCCTGGAGGGCCGGGTGCCCTGGAGAAGCCCCAGCCGTCCTTGTAGCCTTGGCGTCTGTGCCACCTGCTGTTGGGAGGCTCGCTTTGGCACCCCTCTCCAGCAGGCCCACCCCTCGTCCTTATCAACCTCTTTCCCTCAATCATCTGGTATTTGTCCCCAGATGACCAGGAGCCTGCCTTGCTTCATCTTGACCCCCTGCCATTTACTCCATGATATAAACCACCGTTCACCGAGCTCTTGCTGTGTGCTAGGAGCTGTGTGAAGTGTTTTTCTATTTTACTATCTATCGTATTCATCTACTTTACAGGCACGGAAACTGAGGCTCAGAGAATCGTTAGCCAAGATTCAAACCAAGTCTATCTGATTCCAAAACACAAGTGCTGGCCTGCTGAGCTAAGCGCCAGTCTAGGGGATAAGTTGGCCAGCAGGGAATGTTTCCTTTTTCCTCCCTACCCCTGACCCAACCCCTGGTGGCGACGGTGGTGGTTTAGTCGCTCAGTCGTGTTGGACTCTTTGTAACCCTGTCGACTGTAACCTGCCAGGTTCCTCTGTCCACAGGATTTCCCAGGCAAAATATTGGAGTGGGCTGCCATTTGCTTCTCCAGGGGAACTTTCCGACCTAGGGACTGAACTCACATCTCCTGCGTGCAGGTGGACTCTACCAACTGAGCCACCAAGGAAGCCCTGACTCAACGCCTACCTTTTGCCATTTGCAGAGTCATCGAGCTTCCCCCATTGATCCCCATAGCAACCCATGAGGACAGCATTCTGGTGATCATCGCATTATACAGAGTGAAAAAACTGAGGTCCGGAGAAGGGACATGCCTGCCAGGGTCACAGCTAGCGGGTGGCTGAGCCAGCGCTTTCAACGTGGACATCCCCCGCCCTCCCCACAGCCCCTAGGCTAGTCCCACACCTTCTGCCTCTCAGGCCCATCTCAGCTCAGGAAGGCAGGGCTAGGGGACGCCGAGGCTGCAGGTGGACCCTTGGCCCTTGCACTGGGCCACAGAGGAGCCTCCCCAAAGCCCAGGCCCTCCCTAACGCCTCCCACCCAGGAGGGAGCCTTCCCTCTGGTAGAGTAAAGCCCCTGGCTGCCAACCAGCCCGAGCTCTCCTGAGTCCGGGACACTCCTGGATGGCCCTGCCCGCCTGCCCGCCTACAGCCCCATGCCCGCCCCGTGCTGGGCGTGCAGGTGCCCCCACCCCTTCCTGCCTGGGCCTGCCACTCCAGAGCCGGTGCAGCTGTGAGGAAGCTGCTTTCTGCCACCACCTCGGCCGCCCTGGCGGGGGCTCCGCTTCTCACAGGGGTGTGGGTGATGGCCCATCGGGGCTGTCTGGAGCGCCGTGAGCTAGTCCCATCTCTAGCTCTCCTCCCTCCCCCTTCACATCCCCGCAGCCTCGCTGCTGGCTCCCTCAGTCAATCTATTCTGGGCCCAGATGTTTAACAAGTGGGGATTCTTAGCACCTGTCCCAAAGGATGCCTCAAGCTCCCTGCTCACTCGCTTTTGGGGAGGGAAGGGAGCCTTTTTTCTTAGATTATTCAAACAGTGCTATAGTTGTTTTACAATGCTGTGTTAGTCTCCTCTGTACAATGAAGTGAACCAGCTATATGTTTACCCCTCCTTCTGGGCCCTCCCTCCCACCCCACTCCCCACTATCCCACCCACCTAGGTCATCACAGAGCATAGAGCTGAGCTCCCTGCGCTATATAGCAGGTTCCCACTAGCTAGCTATTTCACACACGGTTATGTATGTATGCAGAAAGAAAGAAAGAAAGTGAAGTTGCTCAGTCGTGTCCGACTCTTTGCAACGCTATGGACTGTAGCCTACCAGGCTCCTCCGTCCATGGGCTTCTCCAGGCAAGAATACTGGAGTGGGTTGCCATTTCCTTCTCCAGGGGATTTTCCTGACCCAGGGATTGAACCGGGGTCTCCCATGTTGCAGGCAGACGCTTTACCATCTGAGTCACCAGGGAATCCCCTACGTATTATGTCAACCCCAATCCTGCAATTCATCCCATGACCCCCGTTCCCCATCCCTTTTACACATCTCTTCTTTACGTCTGCATCTCTACTGCTGCCCTACAAATAGCTTCATCAGTGCCATTATTCTTGATCCCACCCATATGCCTTAATATATGATAGCTGTTCTTCACTTTCTGACTCACTTCAATTTGTATGATATTCTCTAGATCCATCCACATCTCTACAAATGACCCAATTTCATTACTTTTAATGGCTGGGTAATATTCCTTTGTGTAAATGTACCACATCTTCTTTATCCACTCATCTGTCAGTGCTGTTTAGGTTGCTTCCACGTTCTGGCTGTTGCAAATAGCACTGCAGTGAACACTGGGGTATGTGTGTCTTTTCGAATTATGGTTTTCACCAGGTTATATGACGATCAACATCACTGATGATTACAGAAGGGAGGCTTTGAGGAGGAAACTGACAATTCTGCATCCTCTCTGGGGCAGGAGTGCAATTAGAATTTGAGTGTGCAAAGATTTTCTGTCCCTCATTCATTCATTCATCCATTCACCTACTGTGTGCAAGGCACTGACCAGAGAGCACCTACTATATGCCAGGTTCTGTTCTAAGCATTGAGATACCATCATGGACAAGACAGGAAAATGTGTGTGTGTGTGTGTGTTTTTCCATGGAGTGACAGTCAGGGTGAAAAGACCGACATTAGATAGACCTTCAGAGAAGAATTCGTTCATGCTGTGATAGATCGTTTCCCTACAGCTGTGCTTAAGTATCACCTCCCCACTGCCTTTGTGAGTGATCCTGGGCAAGAATTAACCTTCCTTAGCCTCCATTTCCTCACCTGTAGAATGGGGGTGAGTATACCATCTACCTGGTCCGGTTACTGTGGAGACACAGGGGACGACAGCTGTGAGTGTATTATGTTCTCTTAACTTATTTACTTTTAGTTGGAGGATAATTACGATATTATGTTGGCTTCTGCCATACGTCAACATAGGCCAGCCTTGGGTATACACACGTCCTCTTCTNGGGCGTCAGCCAGCTTCTCTCCGGGGCGGCTCCCCTCCGCCAGCCCTTTCCCAGCCAAGCTCCCTGTTCCCTGAGGCCTGAACTTCCCGTCAGAGCCCTCAGGGCCACGCCCAGCGGCCTTCACCTCCTGCGTGAATATTTTGCACCTTCCCCCGGCCCAGATGTCCTGGAGTCTTGCCTCGCCGACTCTTCCTGCGGCTGCTCTCTGTCCCTGCCGCCTCCCAGCCAGAAAGCCCCCGGCCCCTCCCCGTGCCCCCAAGAGCCTGTTGCAGGGGCTCGCTCAGCCCTGGAAAACCCACTGGATCCCCAGCACCCCGCAATCCCTCACTTCCTCCCATCCATGCAGCAGGAAGTTGTGCTCACACCTACGGGAATTACTCTTAGGGGGTTATGTCACAGTGAGGCTGGGTTGGAAGGGTCCCTCATCTCCTACTGCAGGAGAGACGTGCCCCAGGTAAGCGCGTGCACACACACACACACACACACACACACACACACACGGCCTCAGGAGGGCTGCAAAAGCTTTCTTTCCCCCTGAGACAGAGAGCAAGTTTCAGGAACTCAGGACAGTCAGAGAGGGGTCGCTGAGGGGGCAGGCTCTGGCACTGGGCCCAGAGCTGTGGTTTCTGGAGCGGCCTCAGCCTGGGGCCTGGAGGGAAGCAGAGGGTGGGGGAGGGAGGAAATGCTGAGTCTAGAGCTGAGCGTGTCCGGAGAAGTCCGCGGGGCAGAGGTGGCCCCCAGGATCGGTACCAGGACGGGGTGACCCGGCTTCTCCCGGTGTGGGGACCCTGGGGAAGTCACTCTTCCTCTCTAGGCCTGTTTCCTCCTCTGCAAAATGTCATTTCCAGACAGTGGGCCACATGAAGCCGGGCAAAGGTTAGGCAGGCACGGGTCCCCATCACAGACCAGGCCCCCTCTGGACTGTGGGGTTGCGACAGAAGGTTGCATCTTGCTGGACCTTCATCCCTTCAACCACAAAATGCAGAAAACAGCCATTACCTTGCTGTGCTGCCGAGAGGCTAACTGATGCATTGAAAGCATCTCACGCAGTGTCTGAAAACACATCCATTCCTCAGGGGGAGCCTGACCCCAAGGTGAGATCCAGCCCCATTGACAGGACCTTTCTTTATAGCCTCTGTTCTTGACAGCCCTGACTGTTCTCCGTAGTATGTATTTATGTGCTGATTGGATGAACACCCTTATTTTCTACTAGGTTATACATTTCTTGAAGGCAAGAACCTGAGCCTGGCACATAGTTGGGGCTTTTATTAGATCCAGTCAGGAAACCAGAACTCCTGCAGTTATTTCCACAGAAGGAATTTAATATAGGGCCCTCATTTTGAAGGAGTTAGAAGAGCCGAAAGACTTTACAGGATGAGGGGCAACTCGGGGACAAATAGCAGCAGGAAGCTACAGCATCCCTGGGACTAGAAGGACTGAGGAGTAAGTGCCCAGGAGCCAGGATCGGGGAAGGATGCTGGAATCACAGTTAGGCACAGGCTGCCCATTAGAACTGGCACACAGAAGGAGCTCCTCCTGTCCCCAGGACCGGGGAGCATAGGGGTGGTAGAGACACTACCCAAGATGACAGCCGAAGGAACCCTGCCTCCTGCCCTCTCATCTCTAACCGGCTCATCCCACTGGCCAAGGGTAACGGGAAGCCGGTCAGCAAGAGAGCTTCGGAGATGTCCTTCATCAGGAATCAACCCTGAGACATAGAGGATAAAGAAAGACCAGGGGGGCAGATCTGAGTTGAACAGACAGCAGGGTCAAGCCTCAACTTTTTTGTTCATTCAGGAATGCATATAGATGATTACACACGTGCATATACTTGTGTGTGCGCGCTGAATCGTTTCAGTCACGTCCAACTTTTTGTGACCTCATGTACTCTAGCCTGCCAGGCTCCTCTGTCCGATTCTCCAGGCAAGAATACTGGAGTGGGTTGCCACTCCCTTCTCCAGGGGATCTTCCGGACCCAGGGATTAAATCCCCATCTCTTACGCCCCCTGTATTTGCAGGCGGGTTCTTCACCACTCGCGCCACCTGAGAAGCCCATGTGCATGTATGCATAGGGCGGCTCAGCTGGTCAGGAATCCGCCTGCAATGTGGGAGACCTGGGTTCGATCCCTGGGTTGAGAAGATCCCCTGGAGGAGGGCATGGCATCCCATTACGGTATCTTTTGACATGGACAGGGGAGCCCGATGGGCTACCATCCAAGTGGTCGCAAAGAGTCAGACCTGACTGAGTGACTAACCTCAGCACACAGCACAATGCTTGTAAACACACTGGGCATCAGCGGACGCGTTTACAATGATGGACTCATTTCATAAGCATCTGGGTTAAGAATAAACAGTATGCCCTCAGTAAATGCTGCCTGCCCTTGTTGACCAGACTGCTTGAAAGGGCTCAGGCTTGCAGCGACTCTGGGATTTTCCTGTCTGGGACTCCAAGACCTCCACCCTCCAGCCTGGACTTCCTGGGCCCAGAGAGGGGGGACCCCGGCCCCCAGGCTCTGCTTGGCTGAGAGCGGGGAGGAGGCAGAGGATGTGTGCCCCGGAGCCCCGAGCCCCACAGAGTCCCCCCATCTCTGCCCGGGGCTCCACGGGGAGCCGGCGCTCCCTTTCCGCGCCTGTCAGTCAAACCCGGCTGCTTGGAAGTTCAAGCGTGGCCAAAAGGAAGCAGATTTCAAAACACACCTCTGCTGGCCCCGCTTCCCTTCCCGCCCCCTCCTGGCTGTGGCTCAAGGCTCCCCGGGGGCCCCCTTGCCCCTGGCCTGTCCCAGGCAGAGCTGAAACCAGAAGGAGCCGGGGCAGAGGTGGGAGGTGGGCTGTGGGGAGCGGGTAGGGGGCACCAGCCTCTGTCTCACGCCCACATCAGGGGGAAGGGATCGGAGGGGGATCGGAGGAGGATCGGGGTGGGGAGGCGGTTAAAGCTGCCTCTTCTTTAGTAAGGAAAGGGGTGGTAGGCGAGAGGGGGCCAGACCCTGAAAATCAAGGAGGTTTGCTGTTTTCCTTTATGACTATCCCTACACTAGAACAAGCCTTGGCTTCTAGAAGATTCTCTGCAAGCATCTGTCACATAAATGAATGGACGAGTGGATTCTCACTAACAAGAAGTTGGCTCAGCTTTGAAGCTGAAGGTAAAGAAGGCTGTCAGTTTGGAGGGCCCCCCCAAACCCCACCCACCGCCACTGACCTTCAGAAACCAAAGTCTTCCTCTCAGCAAGGGCGTTTGGGTCCGAGCTCTTGGACACCATCCTGACTCTGTCACCTTCGAGTTGTGTGACACGGAACAAGCCTCAGTTTTCCACACCTGTAAAATGGGCAAAGATGTCCCCTGCTCCCGAGAGTGTGCTGTGCAAAGTTGCTTCAGTCATGTCTGACCTTTGCGACCCCGTGGACCGTAGCCTGCTAGGCTCTTCTGTCCATGGGATTTCCCAGTCAAGAATACTGGAGTGGGTTGCCATTATCTCCATCAGGGGATCTTCCCGACCCAGGGATCGAAACCGCATCTCCTGTAGCTCTTGCATCAGTAGGCAGGTGCTTTACCACTAGCGCCACCCGGGAAGCCCCCTGAGCATGCTGGGAGGCCTGAATTGAACGAGCCCCTGAAAATAAACCCTATCACAGGCGTCTGTGTGCAATACAAGACTTCACAGAGACCAGAGGCCATTGGAAGTTGGAGAATGAGCTCGAATGTCCTCCTGCGAGTGTGTCTAAGGCATTAATAGCATGGCCAAGAGCCATGACTTCTGGCAATTTCTTTGCTACAGCAGATGGAGGTGAAGGGAAGCCATGCCCAGTCACAGAGGCCGACTGTGGAATGAGAGCCTTGACAGGATGGTGGGAGTTTGCTTTTCCTGGTGGGTTTGTCAGGCTTTTTCCTCCCCCTCCGCACTCCCTTCCCGCTCAGAGCCCAACTGTAAATGCAGCGCCAGCCCGGCCCACACTGTTCCCTTTATTGCCATGTTGCTTTCCATTTGGAAGCTCTCTCTGCAGAACGTGCTTGAGATTTTGAAGAAGTGAGTTAATATATCGATGATGTCTTTATTGTCAGGACACTTCCTGAATTAGAAATAAAAGCCTCTGCTGAACTCAATAAAATGACATGCGGGAGAAAATGTTCTTTCCCAGCATGAAAGCTCTTCTGCTACGGCTGGCTCGGGGTGGGGGGCGAGCGTGGGGAGGCCACGTTCGGGAGCTCGGAGCTTCGCCTGAAGGTTCTTCTGGTAACTCGGCTTCTCCCAAGAGCAGAGGAGAATTCCCTGCCCCTCCAGGAGCAGCAAGCAGGACCCGTGCGTGTCTGAGGTCCGGGCCCACCTCTGACCCTCTCCTGGCCTTCCTGGCTGCCTGACAGCTCTGACCTGACCCTCCCCCAGGCCCCCCAGTCCCGTGAGCCCCACAGCAGCGTGGGACAGATCCTCCCCTCTGCAGAACTGGGAGGAGACAAACCCTGCCCTTGAACCCCCTTCTCTTTTCCAGACCCCGCCAGGCTATGCCCTCCATCCCAAGACCTCCGTGCCCTGCCCGCACCTTACTGACCTCTCCAGTCTGAAGTCTGTCTGTGATTCATTAGAAGAGGCCGATGTGAAAAGCAAAGCCTTGGGTTCCCACAGATCTGTTCTTGGGTCTCCTTGGCCTCATCGTTGCTGTGTGAACTTGAGCGAGTGACTTGACCACTTTGTGCTTCCGTTTCCCCTGCAGTGATGGAAACACCCAGAACAGGGCCTGGTAACTAAGACTGCTACTTAGTCACTTGCCTATAATCTTGTTATCGCTGAGGAAGAAGTACGCTGGGGGAGAAGGAGCTTATTAGATAGTGTGTTGGCCATAGGAGGGGTGGAGCAGTTGGGGAAGCAGAAGAAGGGGGATGACCTTTTTAATGAGCACCTACTATGGGGCTGGCATGTAGCAACCCTTATTCTACACAGTTCAGAGAGGTTAAATCATTCATCTAAGGTCACATAGCAAACAAGAGACTCAGATTCGTCCCTGGGTCTGTCAGACTTCCAGTTCATGCTTAGCTTACTCTGTCCTTGAGAATACCTCCCCCAAAGCCATGTGTGCCTTCAAAGGTACAGTGTGGAGACCCCCGAGTGGGTGGAATAGAGTCCTTGGGGGCAGAATCCTGCTGTGAGGGAGGAGGGGCCGGGCCAGCCGTCACGCTCCCTCTGGCAGCCCTTGCTGCGGGTGATGAGGGTGTCTGCGTTCACCTATGCCGGTCATGTCCTGGGCAGTGCCCCTTGGCCTTGAGAAAACACCCGGTGGTCCTGGGAGTATTTTGTTGACTCAGATGCCTGAGTGGGCTCTGTCTCCCAGGGCCCAGTGTTTCCGATTTCACTCCTCGTTTCCTACTGCTGGGTTTGCCCTTCCATCCCAGCGCCTGCCACTTCGAGTCTCTGATGTCCTGCCTCCCAGATACCATCCTGCTCCCTGTTAGGCCAAGTGGGAGGGGGTTCAGGACCCAGGAACAGGATGCTCGGAACAGTGGGCCATCTCCTCTGCACAGGTGGGGCTCCTGTGGTTTGGTAACCCAGCTGGGGAGGAGGCGACGGCTGGATGGGGTGAGACCCCAGGCACCACCGGTCTGCCTCATCCTCGGAGTGAAAGTCGTTTAGTCATGTCTGACTCTTTGTGCACCAAGAACTTCTCCAGGCCAGAACACTGGAGTGGGTAGCCTATTCCTTCTCCAGGGGATCTTCACGACCCAGGGATCAAACCCAGGTCTCCTGCATTGCAGGCGGATTCTTTACCAGCTGAGTCACCGGGGCAGCCTGCCTAATCATCAGGACTAGCCGTGGGTCAGGCTGAGGGACCTCGTCCAAGGACGAGGGAAGGTTCCGATCTCAGCGCTCAGCACTGCCTTCTCTTGCACGCTGGGCAGGGACCCACGACCTCAAGTCCATGTGCTATGAGTTCACCCGAAGGCGGGCTCCCTTGAAGGAATGACTGGCCTTCCTGATGCCCCGCCGCCCCATTGACGCCACCCGCCCCGTACACGCCTTTGGGACTGTCGGACCCTCTGCAGCTTCGTGCTACTAAACTTTAACCTAAACTACAGCTGCATCCCAACTCCTCTCCCCTCTGGCAACCCAGCTTTGTTTTCCAGAAACTTCCAGCTAAGTCTAAGGATGCCGGCCCGTGTTCAGTGCGGAGGCCCCTTCCTGCCTCCGCAGCCCTGGGACAGACCCAGCTCTACGCCTCCAGCGGGGCGCCTCGGGCAGCGTGTCTCCTCTTCCTCACGTGTGAGATGGCGATGACCCCCCACCCCCCACCTTGTGCCCTGGGTTGTTTGGAATATGAATCCGAGCTCCCACGGGCTGAGTCACCCCTCTCCCCGCTCAGGCGTGCCTGGGGCCAACCAAGAGTCCAGAGACCAGCCTTGGCTTTCAGACCTGGTCACCAACTTGCCCTGTGGCCTCAGGGACGTGATCCTACCACGTCTCCGTGCCTTGATTTCCCCATCTGAGCAATCAACGGGCCCTTCTTCCCCATTCTTCCCACTTCTCCCATTGTCCAGCCGCTCAAGGAGCCAGTGCCCGGAGGGTCTCAGTGGCTGGAACCTTGAGGGGAACAGCTCAGCGGGCCTGGTCTGGAGGCCCGGGGAGGGCAAGGAGGTGGGGTGAGGCCACGGGGGCCAAGCTCCCCCCACCCTGGAACGCCCACCATACGCACATCTGCAGCCCCATCTGGAATAGCCAGGCCCCACCCCCACACATGGTCCGGCAGCCAGACCTCCAGTGCCCCCCACCCCCCCGCCTTGCCTCCCCGCCTGGCTGCCTTTCCAGCCACCCCCAGATTTGTACCCATAATCTGCATATTTAGCAGTTCACCACGTTGCAGGCCAAACCATAAATCCTTCTCTGGCGGGGCCCTGGGAAAGAGTCCCCACGCTTCCGCAGAGCCCCAAGGCCTGACCTCTGAGACCCTGCTCCTCGAGTCTTCAGGCCCCAAGGAGCATCTGTTCTGTCCTTAGGTGTCCCCTGGCCCCCAGAAGCTGAGCCATGCAGCCCGGAAATCAGAATAATCGAAATGACTGGAGGAGGAATCAAAGAGAAAGAAGAACGGTTTCATTTGACTTTCAGGTCACCGAGTGAGATGGACTAGACAGTACTTTTCTCCCCATTCTGCAGAGGGGTAAACTGAGGCTCTGGTTCTGTCCTCAGTCATTCAGGGCCAGCTCAGCGACAATGCCAGGGTGACGTGTCAATTCTCAAAGACCTGGCCAGGGCAAGTAAACTTCCATTTCTTAAGTCTGGAAGCTGCTAGGAACTGTGGGCAGAACACAGAACAGGGGACCCATGCACTTGGCCTCTAGTCCCCACTCAGTTATGTAGTCATGGCAATGGGCTTGGACCCTCTGAGATTCTTTCCATCACCCATTTAATCCTGAGCTCTCTCCAGCCTCCTGATGCAGCCTCCCCAGACTCTCCAGCCCCAAACTCAAAGGGGCAGGACCTTTTAGCGTCACTGATTCTCCTCAAAGAAATAGGAACGGACAGATTTGGAAAGTTGCTACCAAGAAATATGCAGAGTAGACCTCTTGGTACTCCTAACCCGTCAATGAACCTGACCCCGCTATCCCAAAGTACCAGGCATTAGCATTTTCTGAGCTCCATCTATGGATCAGATGCTACAGCAAGCGCTCTGGGAGGACTTTCTCATTCAATCCTGATGTCAGCCTTTTAGAGAGGGAGGAAGATGCTGAAGATGATAAAGAAGGTGGTGCTGGTGAGTGGAAACGGCCGGATTCCAGGCCAGAGCTGTCAGACGCGGGGCCTGAGCTTCCACTCTCACGCTAGAGCCCACGGCCATGGATGTCCTCAGGAGGAAGGAATCCACCCAAGCTCTGCGCTCGGCTGCTCCCTGCAACCCAGCCTGCCCCACAGATCCCAAAGGGCGCACCCTCCTCCCCACTGCTCCTCCGCAGTAGACTGGGGCATCTCCCATCAGAGATTTATGCCAACAGGTGTTCTCCACAGCCTGCCCCTGCCGCCCTGGGTCTGGTCCCTCTCCCCGGAAGCACTAGGTGCTCATTAGGGAAGGATTTGGGGTTCAATGTGTTCTTTTCTCTCTACTCATGCGTCTAAAACGTGCCTCCTGTCAGACACTGTTCTGGTGAAGGAGGTAAAGTCATTAACATTGGTCCTCAGTTCTATTATCTTCAGCACAAGCTATTAATAGCCCTGGGCACCCCTTAAGTGTCCACTGATGGATGGAACAAAGAATTTAGAAAGGAAATGCAAAAAGCCACACCTGAAATTGGAAGACCAGGCTATATGTGTTCACCTTGACGTTAACCTTCTCTCTGACCTTGAATGAGCAACTCAGGCTCTGGGCCTCAACCTACCCATCTGTCAAATGGGAGGCCTGGACTCCAGCTTTCGCGAGCCTCACTCACTCCTGTTCCCCCTTTCCAGTTTCTGCCACGTGTGCCTCCAACCTGTAACTCTGTTAACTGTATATTATTCTTGAGATCAATGTACACTTTCTAATTCAGTGAATTTATTTTAAAAGGGAATTTTAAATCACTTCTACAAATGGAAAATTGCAGTATTGTTTGCCATAAGAAATAAAAGGGAACCAGAAAAATAAATACCAGGAAGTTAAAATAGTTTTGCTAGTCTCACTGGAACCTGTCTCCTGCCCAAGGCTGCAGTCCCATTGCCACCCCCCTCCCCCTTCTGCCCATTCAGCTGGCAGCTGTCCTGGGAGTTCCTTCCATGTGCCAGCCACTGTTCTGGTGCTAGAATAAAGCAATTGGAAAGAAATAGCAGATGAAGGAAGGGGTGCTACATTAGCGAGCATTGGGAGTGGTGGTGGGAGGGTCTTGATGTGAATTTGAGCAAAGCTTTGAAGGGAATGGTGACAGAGCCATGCGGGTCTTTTTTCTTTCTTTCTTTCTTTTTTTAAGAAAAGAGAATTCAGGTTAGAGAGAACAGCAAGTGCAAAGGCCCTGAGGCAGGAGTGTTTTTGCGTGAGCAGCCAAGCGAGCTGGGGGAGAGACCAGAGAGGTGTGAATCGTAGGGAGGCTGCAGTTAGCAGAGGAGGTTGGGAATGTCCAAGGGGAGTTAAAGATGGAGGAGCAGAAAACTGAGACCTGCTCCTGGACTTAATCAGAAGGAGGGAAAGGAGAAAAGGGGACTAACAGCTCTCTAGTTCTGTGACTCAATCCTGGGTACTGCTGGGTCTTTGTAGGTTTTTAAAGTCATCTTCTGGAACTACAGTGGCGCACATCCTAACTGCCTGCCCATGGAGCTCACCTCGGGGCAATTGAGGTTCTTTACTCCTCACCTGGTCCGTGATTTCTTGTGCTTCCAGGCAGGATATCAAGCTCAGGAGGTCATCTGATGTGGCTACAGACACCCGGCAGGCTCCCCTCCCACCTGGTATTTCTGTGTCTGCACATCGTGTGTCCTACCTTCCCGCCAAACCCCAAAGTCCTTTACTGGAAGGACTGATGCTGAAGCTGAAGCTCCAATACTTAGGCCACCTGAGGCAAACAGCTGACTCATGAGAAAAGACCCTGATGCTGGGAAAGATAGCAGGCAAAAAGAGAAGGCAGTGGCAGAGGATGAGATGGTTAGATAGCATCACCAACTCAATGGACATGGATTTGAGCAAACTCCGGGAGATGGTGAAGGACAGGGAAGCCTGGAGTGCTGCAGTCCATGGGGTCTCAAAGAACTGGACAGGAC